AAACACCCGAAACTACTGCTCGTAAAGAACGGCCCAGATGGGTGCATGCCCGCATGGTACCTACCTATTATTACTAGTATTTATTGCTTAAAATAATAAAATAGCATTATAATATAGTTAAACATTTCATTAAAGGCTGGTTCTAATTATTAAACAACATATCACAAGGTTTGTATTTTTTTATATTTTAATTAGTAATACCTTTTATTATTGTGTTTTAATAATAAATAACAGTATTAAATGACAATATTTTGACGTTTGTTTTGTTATTAACAATAGCACCTATATGATTTAGTAGTACAACGTCATATATGGCGTGTTTGCGATGCACATAAACCGTTATTGAGGGAAGCAAAATAGCATTTTGGGCCTAGATGAGGATCGTGACACAACAAGCGTAACGGTTAACATTGCATTCCGCTTTTAAGACGTTTCGGAAAGGAAACCTTAGTGCCAATCACCTCGAGCTGCTGTGGTTGACATTTACAGAAAAGATTGCGTTTATCTTGATCGATGAAGTCTTTGTGTTCTGTGTCGAGTTTCTGGTCCTGCTCGACCTGCGGCTCCGGGCAATCTACAGCAGTGAACAAGTGGTTGGCGGGCGGTCAAATTTGTTGGTACATTGCTTTTGCATACTTGCTGACACTGTTTTCTCAGATCTGGTACGGTGAATGTGTTTTGCATAGGTTGACGATTTTTGTACAGCTTTCAGCCACCGCGGGTACTTCGTTGTGAAAGGACTTCGATTTGACCACCACCTCCGACGTGCTGTTATCGGCGGATTTTATTTCGTTTGCTTAGCATTTATTTCCTCGAGACTCACATCGAGCAGTTGCTTGCGCGGTTTAGCAGTCCAACTTTTCAGCATGTCGTGCGCTCCCTGGTTTCTATCCTTCGGGGCAAAGGTGAACCGGTGCTGACGCTGCCTCGATTCGCCCCAAGAAAAATGCCGCTGTTTCTGCTTTGACTAATGAGCTAACGGTTTAAGACGTCGAGAATGATAAAGGCTAGATAGATGGTCTGACTATACTCGTCACAAGTAATGCTGATAAGGCAAGTTTGACGTCTTACACGGCCCTACGGCTTGCAACGAGGCAAAAAAACGCTTTTGCGCTGGAGAAGGCGGCTCCGGCAGGATTTGCCTATAGTCTAGGAGAAGATGGTGTATGACGAGGACGCAAACCCAGAACTATTTGCGTATTTTGTTACTGAAGCCCCTGCGAACGTGCTCAATAACAATAGCAGGAACGTTGGGTGAGGGACGCGTATGGAACAAAGTGTCGGCTTCATTTATTGGCCTGGGACGACGAAGAGAAACGCAGCATTGTATCTGCACAATTTGAAGTAGTGCATCGGCGCGGGAAGGCCCTCATCGATCTGCCATTCCCGCCTGACTTTTACAATGTTCGACCGATTATTACAAACGAGGACGGTGTACTCGCTGTTTAATGGTACCCGGAAAATAATCTGGAGACACTGTGGCTATACCATTCTGATGGTAGTCGGAAATGTAAGGCTAGTGTGGTGATTCCGATTGGTGTCATGGGGTTGAAGAGAAGAAATTAGAGTGTTCGTCATGGAGCTGGCGTTTTATAGGGGACCGCGCGAAATAGGGTAAACCCACCACGCGGTAGACCTTGCGTTCGTAATGACGGTATGGAATGCGCAAGGGTCAATCCTGAAACGCGTTCTGCTCTTTTTAGAACCGTCTTGGCCGCAAGCGCCGAAGTTGGGCTTTGAACATTTGTATGTCGGTATGTCTAGAGTTACCTCGCTTGATACATTGTAGTGTTATTCGCTATCCGGAGCTCCCCGAGGGTCGCGGATCCTAACGTTGCAGCCGAATAACTACACAACGAGATGGAGGATGGATAGTAGACGCGGATTGGTCAGTCGTTAGTGTACCGAGGACATTTATTGCCTCAACCCATGAAAGTTTGTATTGGTGTTGCGTGTACGAAGCTTACTTGCTTTTACTAAGATACATACGTATTTGTGTCGGCGTTGAGAGTGCGAAGCTCTCGACGGAGAGCTACGTTTTGATATATATTCCCTATGGCGATGCGCACGTAACTAGTTGCACCTTGCACTTCGAGCGCATGCAATATTTTAGAAAGTAGTCAGCTCCGTAGTCAAAGATAATCTCTTCTCCTTGGTCAATGTTTCTGGGCGCTGCGATTCCAATTCGGTACTTACCACTCCTCAGCTTGACAGTTAGGCTCACAGCTATGTTTACAAAGTCTTGACACGTTGACGCATCTCAAAACGTCAATATATCGCCCTGGGACGTACTCCATCATGTAGAGGGAGGGTCTGACCATCTCGCGTCGCTGTAGTTCTTCTTCTGTAATGATTTCGGTCACGTACTCTCTTAAGATTGCCCCTCTGCTAATAGCCTCCACCGCAAAGGCTACGACGCCTTTACCGGGTGCCTCTCGGACCTGAAGCTTAGCAGGATTCACTGAGTACTGTGTCCAACGTCTATTGCTACACAGGTTTCGCGCGCACGTATTTTGGTCGCACTCGCTGCGGCTCCGTCGTTGCGACATCTCTCTATACAGTCGACGGCGCAACCACATCGCTGTTGAGGCGCCGGGACTTTCTGTAGACCGCCTATATTCTCTGAAATTTGCTACGTAGCCCTTCTCGACGCGCTCAACGTAGGTTGCTGTCTGGCTGTCATTAACGGGCCGAGAGAACACGTCCAGTGTAAACTGCTTCAGTCCGCTAGCCGCCTCCGATCGTTTGCTCCCCATGATTCTTGTCAAAGACACTAAAAAATGGCGGAGGGAAGACCCCTCACTAAGGCGTTTATCTAGCCCTTTCGGCTCATTTTCTCAAGAATTTGTCTTTTCCATTTATTAGCCAGTACTTACCTGCTTGTATGTAGAGACATCAATCCGATTTTAGGTTCTATGAGTCAATTTGTTTGATTAAGTACCACAAAGCCGCGACGTGGTGGTTCATTTTGGCCCTAGCTTTGTTCGAGATTAATGCCGATCCACCGTATTTCGTCGCGGTCTGTATTCCTCCCGTGTGCGGCTGTGTGTTTGCGTCAAAACTAACATCTTTTGTACGGATGCTCCTCGCCCCCCCCCCCTTGAATCGGTGGTAGCCTTATTAACTCGCGTCGACGGCCTTGCTGGTCTTGATGGTGTCCAGAAGATTACCAACTCGTTCACCGACAAAGCCCAGCCGTGAACGCTCGAAACCTCAGCCACCCACGTGCTTCCACATCTGTTTTACAGATTGGTGTGCGAGGCTGGGCATGCTTTTTATATAGAAGCAAAATGCGATGCGTTTTACGCTTTTGCTGCTACGAATGGTTAACTCTCGGCGATGCAGACTCTCGACGGATACTTTCCGGATCTAGTGATTAACGAAGCGGAGAAAGCTATCGCTTCTGCTGGCTTTCATAACATACTAAGACGGATCTACAGTCGCAACATCCATTTTTGGCACCCTGACATCACCGGGCTTGCGGCGGGAAGTGGTGTTCTTCAGGCCGTTCAATTTCTTGATCAGTGCCTCCCTTCGAAGGAAGCAGGAAAAAATATTGCAGTCCCGCAGCGCTCGCGAAACCGTAACGTTACTTAATTTCTTTGTAAACGCCTGATTCGCATTGTGTTCGATCGGTTTGACGTAAGTAAAATAGCGTCCTCGGCCCCGTTGGATCTCGCGCGGTGGATGGTTCGGGTTTCGAGGCCGCTACTGCTTGTCCCATCCGCTGATGATGCTGTTCATCATGGAGATTTGGCGCTTCTGAAATGGGTAAACGGCCAAGGTGCAGCCGTGACAGCGGCAGCGATGGATTGCGCTGCGACTTTTGGATATTTTGATACCTCGCAATGGCTACATTGTAGCCGTCGGGAGGGTTGTCCCTCTAGTGCTATGTATGGTGCTGCTGGTCGTGGTCACTTTGCTATCGCTGTGTGGCTTTATACCCATTGGCGAAATGTTGTATCGGTCAGGCATTCTTTCTTGCCGCTATCATAGGGCACTTGCGGATAAGAAGCGGATGGCGGAAACCCGGGTTACCATCGTGCCCCGACAGCTGGGAAAACTACCGGTAGTATGCAGGTATATTATGTAAGCAATATACATGTACATGTATTATTAAATGGTTAGCTCGACGGCCTCTGGGCCAAGTTGAAAAACTGCAGGATCGAAGGCTGCTTCAATTTCAACGTGTTTTTCTTCTTCTTGGGGCGCCCTGGTTTTCGCTTTTCATTTGATGGACCTGGTACGTCTGTATCGCTGATTGTGGAGTCGAGTTGTGGAGCGTTTACGATTGGCTCTGGTACGGCTGGGTAGTAGGCCAAGAACTCCTGTGGTATCGAAAAATACTTTGCTGATAACGATTTCAACTTTTTCTCTGACAACACTTTGATTTGACAGCGCGGTAGCCGGACGCTGTGAATGGAAGCTTCCCAAATAGTGCGAACATGAGTTTCAAAGAGCTCGGTGATAAAAGCGTTTCGTATCTCATCGAGACTGTTCGGATTAATCATTGCATAGGTGCAGGCCTCACTATCCGGCGCGCTAACTGTTTTGCGCGCAATACAAACTCCTTGATCTATCTCAAAAAAATAGTTCGAGGTGTAACCTGATGGAGGAGAAATAAAGTATTTGCTGAGTAATGTGCCCCATTCTTCGAAAAAGGGTGGTCTGGTTTGTTGTGGTCGAGAATATCCCATTAACACTTTTTACATTGTTCACTTCTTCCACGAGAAGCAGTGATGCATATAAGTTCATTTTGCGTGTAGCACGCCTACACCATGCAATAACGCGGTCGGCAATGTTGTGAGAGTGACCAGGTAACAAGAAGCATAACACCACTTTCTTGTACGGGAACACCACGGAAAGCATCACGAAAAACTTCATGACCACCTTGGATTTGTTCTGTCCTACACAATTGTCAAGAAGACTCAAACTTATCTCGGCAGGTGGCACGCCATTGCGGGCATCATTTTGTAAGGTGGATAAGTGATATAGCAGTCTTAGGCTGCAAAGGGCATCGGCTCCCTTTACCCTGGGCGCGTTCGTCGTAGAAGTAGACGTTGTTTCGCTTGTTTGCAATATCGGCTACAACAAACTTCTGGATGATCAGGTTGCTGTTAAAATAATCCGATGACGGACGTGAATGGCCATAATGCGGCATCGATATTCCCCCACCAAAAACCTCCGCTTGTATTGGAACACGGGTCACATTGTGCTCGCCATCATCTTCACTATTCGGTTCAACAATGGTGTCATCATCGCAGGTGTCGTATGTGTCAGGAATAATGTCATCTGGTAGTTGTTGGTCCGGTGCATGCAAGGCCGTGTAAGATTTAATAAATTTTGACACAAACCTACGCTGAGCAATGGCCTCATTGATGTGCGTGGTTTTTCCTGTAAAATATTTTTCTTTTCAGCTTCACTGGTGTCGGGGTCATTCAACCGAATATACAGCAATCACAAACGTCTTCTGCAGCTCTTGTAAGCCGAACTCCCGGGTAATAGAAGTGCACATACTGCGTAAGCCTAGAGTAGCTTAGCGTTCGTGCGGTAGGTTCATTGCGTGTGATATCGTCAGCGTAGCGTGCATGAACCACGACCCACGTCAAATTGGGCTCAGTAAAATGTTGCCGTGGACGCCGATGAGCACATAGAAAGCCATCTTCTAAAATCCAAGTAGTACAGTGCTTTTTAAAGGCCTCAATGTACTCGTCACCAAAGGCGTGTCATGGTGCTGCCTGAGATCTGCGAGTATGCCACTCCTCAGGACCCAATTCACGAATCACGCGCAGACGATCAACACGTGAGCCACCGACCGGAATAATGGCCCGAATTTGACACTGCGATAGGCCTTGCTGCAAGAGATGCATCACGACGCCCTCAGACTGCTGCCACTCGGAGCCACCGTAGCGGGTGTCCCAAGAACTCCAATCCTCGCGCAGTTTCGGTACTGACTCCACGCCAAGTTTTCCGACAGCTCGACGGAATGCAGCCTCGCTTCGAGTAGGGCCCTTCTTACGCTTACGCCGGGGAGCGGTTGCTTGTGAACCTCCACTACGCTAGCCGTCTCGGAGGAGGCAGCATTAATGCGATAGACTGGGCCGCTGCTCAAATCCGCCTACTACTAATGCTTTTCAGATGCAGTTGTTGTAGTTCGCAATTGAACAAGAGCGGACTCCTGTGGTGAAGAACCATCTGTGGCAGAACTGGTTTCCATTGACCGCGTTCCGCGTCAGAGACGCAGCGAAACATTGGGCCAGCGAATCGGCATTATTAAAAGTGCCGAGCATGTATCGAATTTACTGTCGCCTTTCCCCTTACGGGAGAGCAACGAATGGGATTCCATTTTAGAAGCCGCCAAAAGCTACACAGAGGATAATCATCTTCGGTATCGCTGGCACGACTCACGCTTGACCAAGACTCACAACAAGTAAGTGTTGTTTTCTTTCACGACAGATATACGTAAAGGCACTGTTTCTTTCCATTTAACGCCACTGTTATACTAATATTAACTCTATATTATTTGAGGACCTTCTGAAGTGAAATTGCCTAGAAAGCTCAAGTGGTTGCTCAGAGTTTACAGGTGTACACACGGCTGCTACTCGAAGCCGCGGGGTAATGGGAAGCGGCAAAATGTTGTTCGCTTTCAAGGGTGTCCTGCGAGATTTACTGCAAGAGTAGAGAACTCTTCTGACGGTTGGAAAATTGTCATCAAGAACGAGGTATTGTAACTACTGTATCACTGTGTATATTCAGTTATCAATGTTTGCTGACTTACCTGTTGTATTCCTAGACTCAAACACACAACCAAGGTTAATAGTGACATTGCCAGCTCCTATTTCGGAGCAGCCTCTGCCGAGGATCATCCTGAAGTACTGAACACGTTAGCCGAGATGGTTCACGCCCGCGCTGAGCCTAGGCATCACTTCCTTCTTGACGGACAAACTAGGTAAATTCAAATGGCACGGGGTGTTATTCTCTATTTGATTTTAGCGCTAGGTGTTTTATGATGTTATGTTGATGACAGGGAGGCCTGTGACTTCACAGCAAGCCAGAAATATTATGCATCGCTTGGAAGGGAAGACGGATGCACAGAAAAAACTGAAAATATTTTTGAATGCAGCTGCGCAAGAGGAAGGCAGCGATGTCAATTTTTTTCAGGACCAATTGGATATCACGACGGCCATCGTGTGCCAGACGAAACAGCAGAAGAAACGCTTTAAGCTGTGGGGAGACTGCCTAGTGATGTAGATGAACGGACCAAACGGAGAAGAGAAATATACATTAAAAAAAAATTGCGTGTAAGTCCGTGTTTTATATGTAAATTACATATGCATATCTTAATAATAATACTAGTTTTGTATGAATTAAATGTTAGAGAACTACTACTTATTTAAAAGTTGGCTGCGTGGTGGCGAAAGGCACAATACGGTATATGTGTAAACCACAAACTAAAGGCGTTTTTATTGTCTAAAGGCTCGCTATCAGCGATTGTGACGTCGTTGTTAAAGGCGAAGTAACGCGTGCCGTCTGATAACAGTTGTGTCGTTACACTTTCGGTGCAAGAAATGCTAGCCTTTCGAAGAGGATAGTAATGTCTTCCTAACTTGTAAAGAAACGCTATTTATTACCCTCCAGTGTAGTACTGTACCTATCAAAAGTGCACACTTCGTAATAGATAACTTTCGTCTTTTTTATGCAGAAACCACATTCCCTAGATCATCCAGAATTTGCACCAGCTTCGTTACCAAAAACTTAAAGCACTCACCCGCTCGCTTTTTCCGAAGCTCCTTTCGAGGTGGAAGGACTTGAAGTGAAATACTGTCAGTCTTCTTTGACAGCTGGAAATATAGCCCACGATATCTAACTGTGTCGCTTAATTCCTTAATGGCGACAAAGTCGATGCGAACGTTTTCGCGCGTGGGCGACTCTAGCGTGACTTTCGTTGCGAACGGATCTCCGTTTCTGGCCTCATGAAAGCAAACCCTTTCATGAATCGTGCTCCACCAAGCTTTGCCTGGCGTCGATACTTGAGAAAAAACTATAACGCGGAGGCTGAGTTCGTTTCTCAGGAAAATTTCGTGACATCCATATTCGCGAATCAAAGCGCAGGCTCGCTCATAGATCCAATTGCCATCCTTTCGAGAAAATATAATCTTCGCATATCGGGGACCTTTTTGAGTTGTCAAGCAGCACCGAATGGTTAGTCGTAGCATAGTGGCCTCTGACGCTCCATCACCATTTAATTGACTAAGTAGTGCGCGAATACTTGGCTCTTTAGTATTACAAACGTTCGACCAGCTCGATTTCAGATTAGGAAGGTCGTTGAAACGAAATTTACGATTGACATCAATGTGTACTGGTATCTGGAATAGCGTCTGTCCGAAGCAAGCTTTCACAGTCATAGGACCCTTAATCTTCTTTTTGTGGAGAGCTCTCGCAACTGACTGGAAGTAATGGTCACCAAAAGAATTTGAAACACTCGCAGCTGAAAGTTTGTGCTCCGGCTGCGCCAGTGATGGCAAGGATCCCCCCTTAACCCACAGTGCTAAACCCGACAGGGAACCCCCTCGAATCAGTTCGTAAGGATACTTCTCAGTATCGACGTCGCACCACAAAGCCCGATCAGTTCGGATGAACCTCCATTCGTAGCTTCGAACGTTGCGAGCAACTCGGCTTCGCTTACCCTGGGTAGTTAAATAAAAAACGTTATTCGCTTTCAGATCGAACGACTCTTGACCAATTGAACGTCTCTTGTGCTCCTGAATTGCATTGTTCTCCTGCTGTGAATATTGCTGAGCACATGCGCTTATTGTGCGCCTGTCGTAGCGAAAGCGCTGCCGAATAATTACCACCTTTCGCGAAACTCCGTCAGGAATGCAGACAACATAGCCTATGACGTCTTTCATTGCTTCGTTTTTTCTTATGCGATCTGTTTTCAAGATGTCCCAAACTATCACTCAAATCTTCTTATGAAGATTATTAATACATGTAGTGCATAATATCCCAGCAAGTATTTTTTTTATCGAAGTAGGAATTAATGAGCTCAGCGATATCTTTGAGCAGCATCTTACAGCTCAAAGTTCCATTTGGCAACATGAATATATCGCGTAGTTGCAGAGCAGGGCAACGTGACTAAACATGCTCCTCCCTTGCACAATTTTCCTGTATCTCCTGTGCCGGTATTATACGCTTTGTTTTTAGACTGGCAAAGAACTCGCAGGGTGTCCACAGGCAGCAGCAGCAACAAATGAATGAGTAAAACAACACCTTTCAGCTCTTGCTTTTGTACACCACTTCAACCAGTCGGATCGCCAGGTCGTTGGCGCGGTACATGAATCGATTGCGATTTCGCTTAATGCGTGCGCTCCCAGCATCGATGAGGAAGCTCCGATGAGCGATGGGGAACCCCCCAATCGATCTGCCACGAATCTTGCTGCAATAAAAGTTGCTGCTCTGCCAACCGTTTTCGAGACTCACATTCCGAATTTCGCCAAGAAGTCCCCAAGTCACCAAATCTTCAAGATGTTCAGCCGAATCATCCTTTTTCCACTCGTGTCCTGCGCACTCGCTGTAGTGGGCGTCACCTCGGCTGCATCCAACCTACCAGTGATCTTCTTCCACGGCATCACTAGGACGTACGAGGATGGCAACAACTTTGTGGCCAACCTCACCGCTGAGGGTCGCACCGTGGCATCGCTCTCTTTCTGTGACGGTGAGTGCTCGATCCAATCTCTTCTGCTTCAAGTTCCAGCGGCGGTTAAGGCGGTGCGTGAGCTGGTATCCAACAACTCGGTGTACGACGATGGCTACATTTTCATCGGACATTCGCAGGGTGGTCCCATTTCTCGCGCTGTGATGGAAGAAATGAACGAGCACAAGGTCAAGCGCTACATCAGTCTCGGTGGTCTACAGAACGGCCAATTCATCGGCCCCGAGCGGGTAGAAAAGTCCATTGCGGACGGTGGTGCGTTCTTCAAGGCAATCATCCCTGAAACCGCGTACAACTACAGTGCTTACAAACCTGAGGACTATTACGGAAAGCTGCAGAAGGAATTCGTGCTGTACACCATCGAAAACCCCGATGCCCAGTACACGTTCTCGCAGTTCACTGTCAACCGGTGGCCACAGTTTGGCAGCTTTTCCACGGCCAACTACTTCCTCCCAGTCTACAACAACGTGAATCACTGTCTGCCTGGTGACGACCAGTGTATCTCCGACCAGCGACGCCGTAAGGCTAACTTCCTTAAAGTCGAGCAGGCCCACTTCTTCGCTTCACCTGCGGATGACATTATCATGCCGTGGCAGAGCTCCATCTTCGGCCGCTACTCGGAGGTGGACACGATCGAGGAAATCGAGACCCAGTACAACAACCTCACCGTGGTGGACATGAAGGACACGCTGGAGTACACTTCTGACACGTTCGGGTTGCAGACGCTGGACAAGCGTGGCGGGTTGTTTCTCCATACTGCCGAGAATATTAGCCACAAGTGCTGGGTCGAGGACGAGGGTGACTGCGTGTGGGCGAAGGTGTACGACCAGTACCTCTACTCAACGTTGGTGTGAGAAGACTTCCAAGAGAACTATCAGTACAAAATGATACTACTTAATACCTAAGCACGGCGTATTACTACACCAAGTCACAGGGGTAAAGTCATAATTCGACATTGGGGTCGTAGCAGTGATCCTTTGACTGAAGTGCTTGTTTAAAAAGAAAAAGAACTTCACGCTAAGCTTTAAATAATGCGTCATTTCCGAGTTACCGGTGTACAGTACCTATAGTGACAGACCAAAACTGAGATATCCAATATTCTATTTCAGAGGGGCAACCATTGCCACAAACTTTGACACTCTTTGAGATCCTCCCAAACATGTTGATGAAGATGCTGACCCGACCGGCGCTGTCCGTGGCGCGCAAGGAGCTGTCCCCGGCGTCGGTGGCGCTGTTCAGCTCTGCGCGTGACCAGAACCCGAACGTTTTCTTCGACATCTCGATCGGCGGCCAGCCCAGCGGTCGTCTGGTCTTCGAGCTGCGCGCGGATGTGGTGCCCAAGACGGCTGAGAACTTCCGTCAGCTGTGCACTGGCGAGGCGGGTGTGGGCACGTCTGGCAAGCCGCTGCACTACAAGGGAAGCAAGTTCCACCGCATTATTCCCAACTTCATGTGCCAGGGCGGCGACTTCACGCGCGGTAACGGCACGGGCGGCGAGTCCATTTACGGCGAGAAGTTCGCGGATGAGAAGTTCTCACTCAAGCACGAGGGCGCGGGTGTGCTTTCCATGGCCAATGCCGGTCCCAACACTAACGGCTCGCAGTTCTTCCTCACTACTGTGGACTGTCCGTGGCTGGACCAGGCCCACGTGGTGTTCGGACAGGTGACGGAAGGCCACGACGTGCTCAAGGTCATGGAGGAGCAGGGCAGTCAGTCCGGTGCCACCCGCGCCACCGTCGTCATTGAGGACTGCGGCGAGCTCAAGAACTAGATATAGAGCGCCCAGGACAGTACAAGAGCAGTTTTTTACTTGAAGTTTTAATTGAGACGCTGCCGGTTCGGTAATCTGTTGTGCTGGATGTAAAAGTTACTGGAACTAGCTTAGTGAAAGGTGAGATTAGCTACGGCCAGTTGAGTGGGTGCCGTAAGGATGAAGGTGCTTTTAGAGATACTACAGGGTCTGAGTCTCAAATGCTGCAACGTTTGAGAGTTGACGGGGTGGAGACGACCATGCCGGACGTCGAACCCTGCCATTCGTCCCTCTCTGTCAACCAGCAACAGCATTTCTGCAGCTTCGGGTTCATTTGGTAACCGGGCGTTGATGTTGCGTAGTAGAAGAGGAGTCGCCAATGCGTCGCTGGTGCCGAACGAGAATCGCTGGATGACACATTGCTGCACACAGTCACGGAGCTCCAGACCCCACGAACAGGAGGAGGTTGGAGCTGAATCGTGACCCGACTCGAGTTTATACAACACTTGGACTGATCCAGATTCAGATCCCACGAACGTCGCCACGCCCTGGTCGAGAGTTGGACGAATGTTCAGCCTCCACTCGTCCGTCGGTGCTATCTCGTCCTCGTTCGACGCATTCATTGCTGGGTCTGCGAACACTTTGACCATACATCTTCCCTCCCCGTATCTGACTGGTCCAGTGTATTTCACCACGATGAGGAACGGGTGGATGCCTGCGTCACTTGATTCCATCACCTCGATGCCTCCTACTGCCACGTGAACTTGCTTACTCTTAGCAAGACCTGGCAGCCGCTTCTGTCGAATGTAACTCGATGGGAGGAGAACTATTTCTCGGTACACCACCTCTTGATCAGCTTTCTTGCCTCGTGGTGCTTGAGGCTTCAGCTTCGTTCTCGATCTTTCTTGAAGCGTCTTTTTAGTTGATCGAGAGATTGCTCGCTTTGGAGGTGTGCGGTGTACGTTGGAATCTCGAGTGGGTTGATGACCTTCTGATGGTTCCAACGCGTTAAAAATGTTGACAAGCAAGACACAGTTGCGGTTCGTCACAATGAGAGCGTTGGATGGTCCAACAAAAACAATCCGGTCGATGGAGGCTCCTTCGTGTCGTGATGAATTTCCAGACGACGGCGTGAGCTCAAACCGCGACAGTAATCGCATTTCACAAAGATCAAACACACGAAAGGATCCATCGCTGTATCCTGCCATGACCATCGACTGAGCAATACCATCAGGAGTAGGCGAGAAGGGATTCACTGCGAAACACGTACAAGTGCAAACGGCAGAGTCAACCTGAAACGCTGCAATCTCTTTCGCTAGTTCCGGAAGCCAAACTCGAATGGCATTGTCATTTGCTGCGGTTGACAAAACGACGGCCCCTTCGAGTGCCCAAGACGCAGTGGAAGCAGCCAACGGGGGCGTCTCCCGTAGCACTTTAGTTGTCGGTGACGCATCGAAATGGACAAGAACAGCAGTACCGTCGGCGGTGCATGCAATGCCGAGGTCTCGAGCAGGGTCGACAGAGATGCTACGCAGCAAACCACCTCCATTCAGAGCAATCTTGCACAGAAGTGGCACTCCTGCTCGAGCCATTCGCTGCCAGTCCACTTGCACCCGACCCGAATGTTTCGTTGACAACATGGGCAGTCCGTGGACATACAGCACGTTCTCGGTTGTGGAGCCTGTAATGAGCAAAGACTTCGCAGCTGAGGTCACCCATTCCATGAATTCCACTACTTTTCGAGAAGAACCGACACCATCCACTTGGTTGCTGCACTTCTTCATGGTCGGTGGCAATAGTAAAAGCTGACTTGTTGCGATGAATGTACTGCGGTGAAGATCGTAGAAGTAGCAGTACCGGTCGTTGTCGATGCCTACGAGGTAGCGTAGTCGATCGGTTGTGCCTTCCTTGTTGAACAGACTGACAAGCTGGACCTGCGTGGGGAAAATACCAATTAAGGACTTGATCTCCGCTTTTGGTACTTTATCAGAGCATTTGCCCTTTTCGTCTAGTTGAATGTTGAGCGTGTAGATACTGCTGCGCTCAGCTGAGACTTGTAGCAAGAGAAAGTGGGAAGCGGATGTAGCTAGAATTCGTCGAACGTCTGTGGGTAGAATTCCGTTGGAGTTCAAGCTGGACCAGATGATGCGTCTTTGAATTGTACTAGCAACAGCAACAACCGCATTCTGCAACTCGCTAGCTTCACATGCCATGCAGATGAGATCCTCGCCATTTCCTTGTATGGAACACTGGGCGAACGTCAGACAAGTGACAGCACGAGTATCTGGTAGAAGAGGGATCAGAACTCGATCATTTTCTTTCGATGTATCGGCTCCACCACAGCGAGAAACGGATCTAACCACAACACCATCAAACCGAGACGAGATCGTCGCGACTTGCTGGCCACTTGGCGACAGCTGCATCACGACAATTTCTTCCACATGATCCGTCTCGAGCGAGCAAATATCATCACGAAAACTGCGTTCCCCCGAAGCTATATCCTCCACAACTAAGACAGAGCCTGTGGTGGTAAGTAATTTACCCGTCGAGTACGACCAAGCAAACTTGGAAGGGTTAAAGCCACCAACGACGCTACAGAGTGCAATGTCACCACATACACTTGTCGTTGTAACGCTGGTTGCTGGGACATCAATTTCCTGGAAATCTGTCAGCAAACTATCAATGCTCCCACGTTGTGCAGCTCCACCTCCTGCATTCAGCATAAGAGCATCGGCGTCCAGTCTCAGCTTGAAATTCGCCTTGGACGATGCTGCAGTGACATTCGCAGACAAAGTCTGGTCTCCATTCGTGTTTTCATCATTCATGTCATTTTCGTCGTCGCCCCCTGCCAGGTTGAACCACCTTCCGTCCAGTGGGCCGCTCTTTTCCCGTGGGGACGATGGCGACGAGTCTCCGTGGAATTGCCAGACGCATATCGCGTTCGACTCACCCGCAGTGACAATGCTTTTCCCACCTTCAGTGAACGCCAACTCATTAATTTTCCCCGTATGACCGAGGAAAGACTGATTCATCCGACCGATTCGACCTCTGTCATCCCAATTCCACACTCGGAGAGACCCGTCCGCACCCCCAGTAGCCATGTATTTAGCGTTTGCACTCACCACCAACGCACTGATTCCATCTTGACCAAGAAGCGGCATCGATTGAACGAGTTCGCGTCCTGGTAGAGAGAAAATGTGAAGTCGGTCATTGGACGATAAGACTAGCAACTCGGACGAGTGGTTGGAAAAGCGTGCAAGCTTCAATATTTCTTCTTTTCCCTGTTTAGGAGGCCGCACCGTGGATATCACACGCAGTGAGCAGGGATCGAGCATCACGACACTCTGACGATCACTACTGACCAAAGCCAGCCATTTCTTGTCGTAACTAACCTCAAAACAACCGTCTTCGGGATCAAAATCGGCCAGCAGCATCTTTAGCGGCAAATAATCTTGCTGTCGAGCGTCATAGAGACACAATTGCTTCCCTCCACCGGAAGTAAAAAGATGCTGAGCATCAGTATCAAACGCAATGTGTCGAATCGAGCTCTGATGTTGCCGAAACTCGTGTAACATACTTGACGGCACCTCATCAGTAGCGGCACCTGTAGCCTCAGCTGTGCGATGCACGTCGAAGATTCGCGTGTATCCTGAAGCAAAACCTACCGCGACAATTCCACTTTTCACCGGCGAAGCTGCAACACTCGTCACCGGGTCCTGTTGGATGTCAAACTCGTAAAGCTGGTGTCCCGACAAAGTGTCCCAAACTCGCAAAGTACCATCGTCGGCAGCTGTTACTAACTCGCTCTCAGTACCGACACCACAAGTGTCTTCCAGAAGTAATGAAGTCAATGGGGATCTCCAAGGTGCAGGTGCCATCGCTGTTACCTTCTTTGTGTGAGATCGCAGTAAAGTTGCGTACTGTTGGCTCGCGATATCCAGCACTCCGATGGCGTTGTTGCGACTGCCGACAATCACTTTCATCCCATCTGCGGATACATCCAAGCAGCTCACACCTGCCTCGTGTTGAGCTTCCAAGAAGAAATCCGTGAAATCCAATGGCCAGACTCGGAGAAAACAGTCGTCCGACCCAGTGACGCAGAACCCCTCGTTAACCGATAGGCAATTGATACTGGCGTCGTGGAGCTGGTACACGCAGATAACCTGTTTCAAGTCGTAGTCGATCACCAGTAGTGTACCTAAGCTGGACGATACGTATAGAGGACGTACGCGGTGGATATTGGACGGGTGAGAATCGACAATTGTGTCGAAGCCAATGTCTGTAAATACAGTTCCGCGAGAATATTCGTTGAGAATTACAGGACACCCCGTGAGGTGGCCAGTGTTGGGATTGACGCGCCAGTAGCGGATATTCTCCCGTCCACAGGACACAAGATGGTAATGATCTTGCTGTTCGTATGGGGAGAAAGAGATGATTTCAATGGGGAAATCGGACGTTTGTCTTGCCATGAGACTCACTGTCGCAGAGAGAGGAGGGTCTGGCGTTCCACGGAGAAGAGAAGTGCAGTCCCAGATGAAGATTTGAGTTCGAAAACACTCATCGCGACCCACGACGCAGAGCACAAGACGGCGTTTTGATAGCGGGGAGAAGCACATTGCAGGAACCCCCTTCGCTTGCGCCTTGATGATGGTGATACAGTCGCGAGTTGCGAGATTCCAGAGCCTGATCCCATTTTGTTTCGACTCCTTTGGTATTTCTGCTGATGCCAGAAACCTTCCGTCGGTTGTGGCTGCAAGAGCGCAAACTGCACTGAGGTGGCCGTGCAAGAAGTGTTCTCTGGTTGCAGTAGTTGACCCACTTGTTTCCATTGAACCTTTCGCAGCTTCCATACTTGTATTGTTCTCGGAGCTTTTCGCCTTGTATTCGGCGCAAAACTCTCGATAAACGATTGTCGAGGAGCTTGTATAGACACATGCTGAGCCGTCTGGAACCCAAAGCAACACGCGAGCGAAGTCGTTGGAAAAGCCGATGATTCGATCGAGTTCCAGGATTGGATCTGGCCACTCGGCTTTGGTGGAAGATGAGACGATTCGAGTTCGCAGTCCTTGCTTCATCCCTGGCGCGAACGTCGAAGTAGGTGAGCGGAGCGGCGATTGATACGCGGCGTCAATAGACTCTCGAGTGTTTGCTGACTCCGTGGTGAGAAAGACTCCAGCGTCGCGCAAAATCTGATCAGCCTGTGCAATAGCAGCCTCAGTAAAGTACGTTTATCATGCGCTTCAGTTGCTGCATTCCGTTGGAACGAACCTTTGACAGGATGTCATTTCTGTCTCGACGAATGTTTGCGTCTCTTGTTCTTGGTGACGATTGCGTGCTGACTTGGGCTTGGACTTCGTGTGTCGGAGGAGATTCCTCGGTTTTGGTGTCGTGGTGAACAGCGCTTGTAGATTCATGCGAGTGTCGACGCGTTCGGACTGGTGTGGGCGTGGCAGCGATACGAAGATCCTCCTGTTTCGAGTGCGGGTGGATATCATGACCAAGTGATGAATCGTCATCTGGAGGCAATTTGAGCCAACCGTATAGGTCGCCAGAGTCACCAGGAAAGCGAAGAGAGCTGGGCAAAGTCTACGAAACGTAAGACTCAGAACACCCATTTATTGGATACGAGTATGAACGTACCGTTGGTGTGTACAGCGTTGGAGACACGAAGAAGTTTCGCAAATTCATCGAAGCACACAACGTGATGGTCTAGAGCACAGTACGGGGTTGATAAACTGTGAAGATATACAATTAGGCGATCATTGTTACCTTGAGGTGACGATAGGTTTCTCTTGCGTATTGATTAAAGGAGTGGAGCTCCAGCAAGCGCGCCATATCCACCACGACCACAGTCCATCGAGTATCCAAACTACACAGCACCAAAGTCGTCGTTAGAACATTATCTCATCGCCCCACTTCGACATCATCGTCGAACCTTAGTGGTACCCTGAGCACAGTCCCCGTGCTTCGGAAAAGCTGGTAAATGGAGCTCAGTGCAAAGCGCAACGCTGTTTTTCTGTTCGTCACGAAGTCGAGATGAATCGTCATCGGTAGATCCCCAATCCGCCGAAGTTGCAGATACGCGTAGCGTCCTGTCAGACCCAGTCCATGTGTCCCCTTTACTGCATCCCTCGGAACTCTTAAGTAGTTGGTAGCTGCGATGGCTCCACGAATCTTGAAGACGTTCTTGTGGATATGCTGATCCTGGATTTCTTCGACGTCACCTTGCGTGTACCAACCGACGTTGCGATGTGTCATGCCGAACTTGATGACCTCCACGAACGGATCCTGCCACACTGTAAGCGAGTGGGTCTCAATCACCAGAGTGTAGCAGCAGCTTCAGAGCGTACCTGGCATCACTGCAGAGCTAAATGGAGATGCCATTTGCTGTCTCCGATATCACTGGTCCCTTGTTAGCGTAAGCGTGGATTTGACAAACTGTTGGGGTCCGTATCCGACTGTTCGCGAAGTACTACATGCTGTATATTTACGTTTAGATGCCTCGTTCACGTAGTAGCTCCTGGAGGCACTTGCAAATTGATGCTGTGATGAGGTCTCCGTTAAAAATGGGTCGGATCATCTCGACGTGTTTCTGGAGTGCAGGGTCGCCAGGAAGCATATTGTACCGATACACGACTGTCCACCTCAGCGTCACGGACTCAGTTTTGTCGGTTGATGACTCAATTCGAGGCGTGAGGGTCAGTCCGCAAATGCCAAACTCTACCGAGTTACTTGGGTACAATGGATCGTTCGTGATGGTATCAAGGTGAACGGTGGCATGAGTTGTAGTCAGCCCCGAACACAACACTTGGTTCACTGTTGCTGGCAATCCGCCTGCACTTTCATAGTTCATTTGCCAGTATACTGGAGAAGCTTCGTCGTTGAGCTTTGATTGCGATACGTTCATTCTAAAATGGTGCTTCAACGACGTAGGGATGAAGTCGAAAAACGCCAGGGCGCCTGCGTACACATCTTCCAGCGAGGGGTGTGGTATTTCAGACATGAAGACACTGGTGACCACTGTGGAGTCCACGCAGCCCGTGACGTCAATGTGGGAAATCGGTAATATTGATGATGGCTGGGTGACATCTTTGACTTTGTCGACGGTTAATTGGGTCATGATCGATGGTATAGTTGCCAGAGCGCGTTTATTGTGGCTTTTCAGAATATAACTTCTATCCTCGGCATCGTGTCCCAGACGGGTGTCGAAATGGAGCGCCTTGGATAGTTTGTCGCCATTCGATTCCAGTGGCGCTCGAAGAAAAGACGACTGCAACTTTGCAAACACAATTTGTTACTGCAGGAATGTTTCATGCAACTGTTTGTGTTTGGCCAACGTTTGGTCGACTTTGTACTTCGTGCCGGCAGAGTGCAGCGCTGCAGTCAGGATGCGCTTGTCGGGTAGAACCCTGGTCCATTTGGCGTGCAGATCACAGAGTTCTTCTTCCAAAGAGGCTACTTGTTGGACATTGATGTAAGAGCCAGCCAACGGGCAGGCGACCGGAAGCCAGACCCCCAAGGACCTTTACGCAAGTGTCGAGTCGACAATGTTGAAGGTACGACATTTTGACTTGGTTTCACTATTGGGACCAATCAGATCGAGTGTAGGCGCGTGTCTTTTCAGGTTATTGTGTAGTGTGCATGTAGAATCCAACTAAAAACTCCTTTGAATGTATATCTCACTTTCACTTCTACCTTCTGCCGAGCAAGTGCCAAACCAACAGGTTTTGAGCCCAATGGTCAACAACTCAGACGCAGACGCTGCTACGGAGGCAGTCCCCGCCTCCCCCGCCGCCCACGAAAGGGGCGAAGAACATCACGAAGAGAAGGTCACGCCGGACGCTGGAGCGCTCGCGGCTCTCATCACTAAGCTCACGGCCAAAGTGGACAGCTTAGAGCGGTCGCTGGAGACGCACCAGCAGCGTGCGGCCGTCACGCCACCCGGTGCGGGGGCTGGGCTGGGCCAGAGCGTGTACCGTCAGGCACTGCAGCACGGAGGCAGCTTGGGCATGCAGCGCATGCAGATGCATGAGCTCGGCGCGTCGAACTTCGGTATGGGTGCGCGGACGCCTGGGGTTTATGGTGGTCCTGGTGCTGGGCAACAAGCAGGAGGCACACCGCTCCAGGCCCAAGCAGCAGCTCAACAGGCGCCACAGCAACAACAACCAGCTGCGCAGTACCAAGCACATCGACCTTCGCCGCTGCATCTCAACGAGAGAGTGCCGCAGCCCAAGAATGCGAAGCTCTTCATGCGAAACTTCGACGGCAGCGAGGTCTACAAGGGACTTGGGAGCGGTTTCGAGCGTGGGCGCTGCTGTTCATTAAGCAGATCGAGATGGCGGAGCAGTCGTGTGGCTACGCCTGGCCTGAGCGCTACAAGGTGAACAAGTTCGGCCAGCATCTACGTGGTAAAGCTGAGCTCTTCTTCCAGCAGCACATCATGCGCTGGTGGGCCACGCAGCCGACGCTCTGGTTTGTGATGGATCAGATGCACTTGTCGTTCAAGCGGGCGCTCTCGACGCAACAAGGAATGAAGCTCTTTGGCGCGAAGAAGGACCCGTCGCGATCGTGGAATGAGCACTTCTTGTACTTAAATGCTCTCATGATGGCAACGAACGCGTCACCAACGCTAGTGCTGGAGAAGATCGTCAAGTACGCGGATCCGGACTTGAGGCACGCCTTGATGGCCAAGTGTGACATCACGCGGCCGGATCCTCTCCAACAAGCGCCCAAACGACCAGCTCGTTCGCTGGTCGCCCAAACGAAGCGAACGAGCTGGTCGTTTGGGCGCAGATGATGACCGATGAAGATCGAGCGCCAAAGCATCTTGGTAAGGAAGTCGTGAACGCAGTGGCTGAGTCCCAAGAGGAAACGCGGCGATGCCACAAGTGCAAGAAGGTTGGACACCTGAAGATGAACTGCCCAGATCGTTCCGCTAGAAGCAACAATGACCAGCCAGTAAAGTTTGCACTTGACGCCGGTAACGACTTCAAGTCCGTGGACAGCGGTGCCAGCCGACATCTTATCAATGATCCTGCGCTACTGGCTAAGGTAGTGCAGTGCTCTGGTGGGGACACCTGCATGTTACCGGATGGGCGAACGATGGACGTAGCCAAGAAAGGATCGGTGATTTTGAGAGCTATTGTCGACGGGGTCGCGGCTGAGGTGGAGATCAGTGAGGTCTACTACGCACCGAAACTCGCGCAGAACCTGATCTCATACGGACGGCTGATAGCGAAGGGATGCTTTCTCACCAAGCGCAACGGAAAGTTGGCGCTGATGAAAAGCAACGAAGTGGTGTTCTATGTCGACGTAAGGCACAACAAGCTTGTGGCTAGACTTGAATCGGTAGTTACGAACAATGCTAAGATGGAGCAGCTGATCATGAACGTGGTGGATACGAGTACGGACACAGCCTCGCCGGTCGTCGCCACGGACACGTTGATGGGCTTCCATGCACGTTTCGGTCACTTGTCATTGGACACCATTGAGCGTATGGCAAATGACCCCGCATCCGGCATCAAGATTTCGAATCGTGACCGTAAGCCCTGCATGGTTTGTGCTGAGGGTAAACAGACTCGAGCGAATCAACCGACTAAGAGCACCGGATAGCACTCACCGATCGACAAAGTCGGAGCAGTCATCTCCAGTGACCTGAAGGGTCCCATGACGCCACTTGACCGCCAAGGTAACCGCTACATGGTTAACTTCGTGGACCACAAGTCGAACTACTGCAAGGTGTTCATGGCAAAGAAGAAGAACCTGGCTGCAAAGAAGTTCGAGGACTTTCTTGTCGAGTTCGAAAAACGGTTCGACGTTCGCGTGCATGTTCTCCGCACGGACGGTGGAGGAGAGTACCGAAACGTGGATCTCTTCTGCAAAGAAAACGGAGTGGCTCGTCAGGTGTCAGAAGTCGGCAACCAAGCTGCAAACGGCAAGGCGGAGCGGATGCATCGCACGGTTCTCAACATGGCTCGGTGTATGGTGTTCGGTGCAGGATTGCCGCTGAGCTTCTGGGGTGACGCGGTTGAGTACGCGACGTACGTGCTGAACCGGAGCTCGTCACGCGCTATCGAGGATCGGAAGTCGCCACTCGAAGTGCTGACTGGCGAAGCACCAAACCTTCGCGACATTGTCATGTTTGGATCAAAGCGCTCCGTGTTTCGTGACCCCGGAAAGCGCGCCATGAAGAAGAGGGCGTGTGAGGGCGTCGTCGTCGGCAAGGACGAATCGACCAAGAGGTACAAGGTGTACCTGCCTTCGGAGAACAAGGTGATCTTCACGAGGCATGTGCAGAACATCCGCGCGTTGGAGGAGAAATCCGATGTGAAGCCACTAACTGTTCAGGCTCCCACGACGACATCGCCACCGGCACCACGTTCCACACCACGAAGATCTCGTCGCTCACGCCGCAAGTCGCGCCGCCGTGCTGAAGCCGATGGAGACGTGGAGGTTGACGAGCCGAGGCTGAGCGCTGAGCCTGTGGTTTTGACCGTATCCGAAGTCAAGGACGTCAATGCCCACGCTGATGACCCGGAACCGAAGAACTACAGGCAGGCGCGGAAGTGCGCCAGGAGCGCGCTTTGGGAGGCAGCTGAAAAGGAAGAACTTGAAGCTCTACAGGCGAATAACACGTGGAAGCTGGTCAAGTTCGAGCCTGGTAGTATTCGCTTGCATACTAAGTGGGTGTACAAGAAGAAAGGAGCAGGCACGGGTTTGATCGAGCGGTACAAGGGTCGACTAGTCGCCTGTGGCAACGAGCAAAAGTTCGGCGTTAACTTCTTTCTCGTGTTTGCGGCTGTGATTACCATGACTGGTGTCAAGTTTATTTTCGTCATTGCGATCATATGGAATGTGCCTGCCAGACACGGCGACGTTCCAAACGCGTATGTAAAGGCGAAAACGGAGGAGGGATTCGAGATTTTGCTGTTCGTCCCCGACGGACTCGTTATCACGGAGGAAGAGCTGAAGACGCTCGGAGTTGAGAGCGTGGATGAAGTTGGCCTACTTCTTGGTCAGAGCCTTTACGGTCTGAAGCAAGCAAGACGCCTTTGGCATGAGCACCTTCATCGCGAACTGGTCAAGCTTGGGTTCATCCAGTGCATTACGGACGCGTGCCTGTACTTCAAGGCTGACAGCGGTGGAATGACGGTCGTCGGAGCGTACGTGGATGACCTGCTGGTTACTGGCACGGACGAGAACAGGGTTTCCCAGTTCTTCGCTGACATGTCCGTTCTGGAGCTCAAGGATCTCGGTGCTGCCAGCAATTTTCTTGGTATGCGCGTGCAGTACAATGAGCTCAGTGGTTGCAGGTTTGACCAAGAGGCTGCAATCGTCGCGATGCTCACCAAGTTTGGGTTGGACAAAGCAAATTCGGTGCGATCGCCGATCGGAGGAGAAGACGCGGCAGAGTCAGATTTGGCAGAACTACTTCCGCACACGGCAAAGGAGACCACGTCAGCAGGACCAACGGTGACAAATTTCCAGTCACTGGTGGGGAGCTTGCTGTGGATTGCGAGATGCACGCGTCCTGACATTATGTTCGCTGTACACTGTGCAACGCGACGGACTCATGCACCAACGATGGCGGATTGGAAGCTGGCTAAACGCATCGCCAGGTACCTGAGTGGCACCCGATCGCACACGATGGATATGTCCGGCGACGACAATGCTAAAAAACTACCACTACGATTGCGCTCGTATACGGACGCCGACTTTGCAGCCGACAAGAGCGACCGCAAGTCGGTGAGTGCGGCAACCATCCAAGTAAACGGAATGACTGTGTCATGGCAGTGCAAGAAGCAGAGTTCTGTGGCACTATCGACGACCGAGGCGGAGTACGTCGCTGCGACAGTGGGTGCTCAGGAGCTACTCGGGCTGAAGGAGCTACTGGGTGAGCTGGATATCGCCACCAAGTTGCCTATGACCATGCTGATGGACAACCAAGCGGCTATCGTGCAAGTTCAGAGCGAATCAAGCTCGGCCAAGGCGAAGCACGTGGACGTCAAGCTCAAGTTCATCCAAGACTGCGCCAAGAAGAGCATCGTGGTGCCAGAGTATGTGGCTAGCGCGGAAATGCTTGCCGACCTGCTGACGAAGGCGCTACCGGCGCCACGGGTGAAGGAGCTACGGGAGAAGATCGGACTCGTCGACATCGAGTGATTCAGGAACCCCGAGGCTCTGGGGAGGAGTGTTGGACATTGATGTAAGAGCCAGCCAACGGGCAGGCGACCGGAAGCCAGACCCCCAAGGACCTTTACGCAAGTGTCGAGTCGACAATGTTGAAGGTACGACATTTTGACTTGGTTTCACTATTGGGACCAATCAGATCGAGTGTAGGCGCGTGTCGTTTCAGGTTATTGTGTAGTGTGCATGTAGAATCCAACTAAAAACTCCTTTGAATATATATCTCACTTTCACTTCTACCTTCTGCCGAGCAAGTGCCAAACCAACACTACTTGCTCCTTGAGCATACGAATCTCGTGTCTGGCAATTGGTTTTGGCGTCTTGCCATAAGGTCGTCTGCGTATTTGGCACTCTCTTCCAAGGACGTCAAAGTTGGTATCGTTTGCGGGAGGGTTAGAGCGTCGTTTCTTGGTTATTTGAGTCGTTGCGTCTGGACTGGGGCAGCCCTGGCACGTGAGGAAACTCATTTTGGACAGCGACTGTGAGTACGAATTTTTGAATGACGGCGTGACACTGACAAACCACCGTGAGCATCTGCCGAGTGCTTGACGAGAGAGAAGAATGTTCGATAGGTCGAGCATACGGTGTTTGTCTCGGCTGTTTTACTCTTTATTGGCCATCCGATTCCAGCAAAAATGCATGGCACAATGTGTAGCCATCGATTGTGAATCACAATCAAAAGGTGTTTACATCCATGGTAGAGCCAGGAACCTTCGTCATCATGCATCACAATTTGTCATCACAATTTAATTTGTCATCACAATTTGTGATGCATGATGACGAAGGTTCCTGGCTTTAACATGACAAAATTGCAAAAACACCGTTTGAAACGGTGTGCAACACGCTCAAACGCACAATAGCACCTTTCGGGGCGGGGCGACGCAGCTATGGCGCCAACTAAGGCGAGCGGGTGCGAGGTCGCGTAGCCGCAGCAAACCCGCGCGGGGTGCCCGCGAAGCAGGGACGCGCGGTATTTGCGGAGGCGGGCCCAGCGCCGAGCTTACCAGCGATGCACTTCCCAGGTGAGAGAATCTATTAATCGCGAGCGAAGCGAGCCTGGTAGCGGACGACCTCTTACATTATATAATGCCTTTCCACAGGAGAGCCGGGTAATCCCTCCCGGCTGCTCTTACAAATGCCAAGTCAAAACAAATCTTAGGTGCTATCCTGCAAAACAAGGTGTTTTGGATGCGTTGTCTCCTTGTAAATACCTTTTGAAGATATACAGGCACTGCGATGCGATGCAGTTTATTCTTCTGAGTTTCAAGATGTCGCCGCCCCGCTAGCCGGCAATACCCGAATCTCGACGGGCGAGCGATTTTTCACAAATGCTTTATATATAGTCATTGTTGCGTACCACGATAACTCGATGAACATCAACTGACGGGTGCCCAGCACTTACCAAGGAGCAATGACGCCGCGCAGTTTGTTTTCTGTTTTCAGATCTGGTGAGTTGGGCGCAACAGATAGAGTCCTTGGGGCAGTAGCAGAGCTCACTAGTTTGTGGAGAATAGGAACGACACCATCGCGCACAGTTCCAAGCGTGCTCAGAGCAGCAGCCACAGTCACGTTTCGAGATGTTGCATCAACACCTGCTCGGAAATACCCCTTGAGGGGCGTCATGATACGGTCGGGAATGATCGCTTCGGTGATGGCATCGTTCTTATCGAGGATATGTTTGAGTGCATGTGCTGCTTGTTCCTTTTGTTCATCGGTCCCTTCCTCCATGAGAGAAGTAAGTGGTGCGATGGCTCCTTCTTCCACGATTGCAACACGGTTAGAGTCGTTGCTGTGAGCTAGGAATCTCAGTGCAAAAGCTGCCCATTGCTGCTGGTCTCCATTACCCGAATGAAGAAGCTCAACTAACGGTGGAATAGCTCCTCTGCGCCCGATCTCATCACGTCTGTCATCGTTGTTGGAGGCCAGGTTCCCCAATGTGTAAGCTGCATGCTCCTTCTGAGTATCGGAGCGTGCTCGCACGAGCTCGACAAGTGGCACTATTGCATCGTCGAAATCGGATACTGAATCGCTGTCACATGCTAAATTTCCCAACGCAAATGCCGCCCGCTGCTTGAGCATTGCAGTTCCTGATCGGAGCAGCTCAATCAGTGGAGCGATGGCGCCGTTTTGCGTAATTATCTCGCGGTTGGAGACATTATGAGCAAGATTCTTCAGTGCTTCTGAGCTCGTGTTCCTGTTCGAATCAGAGCGACGAGCGAGGGAGCTGCGCCCTCTTGAGCAATCAGCACGCGATTCTCTTCGTTACTCAGAGACAGAAACCTCAGAGCGTACACAGCCCACTGGGTCTGAACATCGGTCCCATCTTTCACAAACGCCACCATTGGTGGAATGGCACCTTCACGGGCAATTTTACCACGATTCCCTTCGTTGTTTGCAGCCAGATTTCCAAGCGCGTAGGCCACTTCCTGCTTGTGCATATCGGTTCCGGATCGCAGAAGAGCAACCAGAGGTGAGATCGCCCCAGCACGCGTGATAGCCACGCAATTGTCATCACTATGGCTTGCCAGTGTCACCAGCACCTCAGCTGCCCACAATTTCTGGTTACCGGTGCCGTCCTTCAAGAGTCCAATCACTAGTGGCAAGACGCCAATCCGACGTAGGGTATCGCCATCTCCACGAGTTGCCATACACGAGCACTGCAGCACAGCGATCTCCGTCGTGTTGTCATCTCCGTACTGGAGTTCGTGCAGCAGAGTTAGCATTTCCCAGTGGGCTGGCTTTCGGACGCATTCTTGTAGCACCTCAAATTCAGACTCCCGCATGTTAGAGTAGGAGAATGTGAACTAGCTCAGGCAATGGAGTGCATAGAGCTGAGAGAAGAACCTCTCACTGTTGCGTACCAAGGCGGTGAGCACAGGAATCCCCTTGGTTTTGTAGATTTGCATTCGGTTGGTATTGGTGACGCACTTGCGAAGGAGACTCAGTAAAGCTTGTTCTTTTACCTCTGCTATACCCTGTTCGGAACTCAGAAGCTGAATGAGTTGCGGGACGAAGGTATCGTCCGTAAGCGAGGACGTGCTGAGTTTGAGCGGTTGGGTGATGTCAGAGTCCTTATTCTCCTCCGTCACGTCGTCGGTAGCTTTTTGCTCCACCTCGCTGGAGCTATTTCGCTGAAGCGGTTCCTGACCGGTCTGCTCTTCTATGATTTCCTTATCTGCCTCACCGGTCATAGCGTTCTTGTGACGACTGGTGAGAGCACGGCGCAGAGGAACAGCGACGAGGAACGAGTCGCGTGGCGAGGAGCGAAGCGGAGGAGGGCGACGAGAGTCCAACGAAGGGGACTCGAAGGTAAGGCGTAGGAGGCAGTTGATGTGCCTCGAAGAAGGTAAATTGGAAAGTGAGATTGAAATGGTTAGTTGTTTGTCGGCTACGAGGAAGTGCTTGTTCGCATTCCCTTGGTATCCTATTTAAGTATATGCATTTCACTATACTAGATTCTAAGTAGTCCTTGAGTCGAATCTTGAAGTAGCGTAGCGTAGTAGTGAACCGCGGTTCATTTGAACCGGGTCAGAATCTCCATAGTGAATTCAAATGAAAAAGAATGAATGTTATCGAAGTTCCATGTTTAGCAATACTCATTCAAACATGGTGATTGCCTTCCGGTCAGGCGTGTGTCTGCCTGGCCGCTCATTGGCAACTTAAGAAGACAGTTGGCAGTCAGCAAAGACAAGTAGGAAAGAAATAGAAGAAAGTAGGACGCATTGGTACCAACGTCATGGCCATCGCTGGCTGTGACGTTGGTGCGTCGTTACATCCTCCCGGACTTGACTTCTCGTTGGCGCTTGTTGAAGTCGGAAACGAGAACCTTCCAATGCGACACATGGCGGATGTCTTTTTCGCGCTCCCAGGTTGCTTCGTGATCTGACAATCCGTGCCATTTCACAAGACATTCAGGTTTGCTATTGAATTGACGCTTGCGAAGAAGCTTCTCGATGATGTGCATCGTTGCGCCAGTGTCGTCGTCAATAATCAGTCTTGAGGCCTTTAGGATAGGCCGAGTCTTAAAACGCGACGGGTTTTCAACGTAATGACGCAACACGTCCACATTGAACGTGGAGTTCAGACGACTCATGCTTCGCGGAAGATTCAACTTGGCCACGTTCGGGTTGATCATTTTCACAATCTCGAATGGTCCAATCTTGCGAGCAGCGAGCTTAGCTCGTTTCCCATCAATGTCTTGAGTAACATGGGCGGAAGGAATGCGACGTGTATCCAGCATGACTAAGTCTCCTTCCTTGAACGTGATCGATGATCGCTTCTTGTCATAGTACTTCTTCTGACGTTCTTGGGCTTGAAGAAGATGCTTTTTTGCCAAATCAATGATCTCTTGGCGTTTGTCTTGGAACTGTTTCGCATATTCAACAATTCCACGCTGAATTTGAGTCATGGTACTGGGATTGCTCAAAGCATTCAACGGATTCCGTTCCTTGCGTCCAGTATCAACTTCAAAGGGCGACATACCGGTAGATGCGCTGACGAGAGTAGCATGAGCATACTCAATCGTTCCGAGATTATCCGACCAATCACGTCCGTGATACGATATCATGCAGCGTAGAGCGTCTTCCAGAACCAGATTCTGGCGTTCGGTTTGTCCGCACGATAGGAAGTTGTCATGTGCAGACGAATTCCCATTAGCTTAGCCAAGGATGACCAGAACTTGGAGACGAACTTGGAATCTCGATCGCTGATGATGATCGATGGTAAACCGTGATGGAGAACAAAGCAATCAAAGAAGTGATACGCAGTCTTCTGTGCATCATCAGTCCGGTTGCACGCACGATACTTCGGGAGCTTGGACAACTTGTCGACAACAGTCAAGATTGCATCAAAACCATTGGAATCAGGTAATCCAGTGATAAAGTCCATAAAGACGACAGACCAGCATTCCTCAGGAATCGGAATGGGAATCATCTTGCCATTCTTGCGAGCATTGCTGTGTTTCCAGCGAGTGCAAGTTTCACAACTTTGCACATAATCGCGAACATCTTGGTCTAAGGTGGGCCAATGATACCATTGCGAAATGCGAAGGTACGCTCGATGAGCTCCAGGATGAGCAGCAATATTGGAGTCATGGAAGCAAGAGATGATGGAGGTTCGAAGATGATTGTCCCGAGTAAACGGAGCACACAAGCGCATCATCGTCTGATACTTGCGGAAAAGTAAACCATTTTGTTTGACAAATGGTTGTTCCGGATGCTTAAAACGATCTCCGTAGTCTGGGCAATTGCGATATCCAGCAGCGAACTCTCTGCTAATCGAATCAGACCAACCGAGCGAGCTCCAATTTTGAGCTTGTTGGGTCACATTGGTGGCCACAACAATATTCTCAGCCGTAGCGACGGTACGTGGGGTTTCCACTGGTACATGGCGGTAAGCTTAAGCTAAGGTCGGAACAGGGCGCGTGTAGTAACCAGCAGCAACATCCTCCCCATGAAATTGAGGGCGAGAGGGTGGTCGAACCAAATGTTGGTTAAGACGGCGGTAGTCGGTAATAACGCGTCGATTCGTCAGGTTTCGAGCTGCACGGGTGTGGCAGCGCGTGGTACACTGATGAAATGAAACTGTATTGATCGCATGCTTCGAAGATCGACGCGACAACGCATCGGCAACCACATTGAGATGTCCCTTAACGTGGTGCAACTTGAACGTAAACTGTGCGAATAACGTCAAATAGCGAGCTAATTTCGCTGAAACCTTCGGGTGGTGCAAAAACCATTTGCAAGCAGTGTTGTCCGTGTAGATATCAAATTTACGACCATATAAGTAGGGACGCCACTTGTCTAACACTAATTTAATAGCGAAGAGCTCTTTCTCGTGTGTTGGCCAATTAATCTCGTGAGGACCAAGTTTCTTCGAGAAGAAGGCTATCGGATGATCTTGACCGGAACGAACTTGAGAGATAACGCCACCAACACAGTAGCCAGAGGCATCTGTTGTCACGATGAAACGTTTCTCGTAATCCGGTAGCTGCAACACGGATGCTTCTTGAAGAGCGGATTTGATTTCCTCAAACGAACGCGTCTGTTCTGGACCCCAGCTCCAGACATGTTCTTTCTTGACAAGAGAACCAAGAGGCAACGCAATAATGGCGTAATCACGGATAAAGCGACGGTAATAACCTGCGAGACCCAAAAAGCTTTGTAGTTGCTTTTGGTTTAGTGGCGTAGGCCACTTTGCAATCGCTTCAGTCTTGCGAGTATCAACAGCAAGTCCTTTGGCAGAAATCGTATGGCCGAGAAACTTAACTTCGGACTGACCAAAGTGACACTTCGAGAGATGACAGAACAAATTCTCACGACGTAGAACCTCAAAGAGAGTTTGAATATGCTCAACATGCTCTTCCAGACTGTTGGAAAAGACACAAATGTCATCCAAGTAGACAACAATGAATCGGTACTTCGCAAAGAGTACCCTCATGAGGCGAGACCAAACACCAGGCATACCGGCCAATCCCATAGGAGCTACACACCACTGGTAAGTTTCAGCGTGCGTGCGAAAGGCGGTATACTTGCGACTCTTGAGCGCGATACGCATCTGGTGATATCCTTGAGCCAAATCTAGAGCTGAAAAGACGACACAACCAGACATCTGATCGAAGAGTTCGTCGATGCGAGGCAGTGGAATCTTTGGAACAATCGACTGCGAGCTCACATAGCGATAGTCGATGACCCAACGGATAGGCAAAGTCGAGTTTCCAGAGCGTACCCACTCAGAGCGAGACAGCTGATGTCCAGAAGTAGGATCTTTCTTTGGAATCCCAAAGATGTTGGATACCCAAGGAGAACCAGAAACTTCGATCCATCCTTTCTTTAGCTTCTCTGCAACGAAGAGATCCAGTGCATCCTGTTCAACCTTAGACAGGCGGAACGGAGCACGGCTACTTGGAACAGCATCAGGTTTCATGTGGAGTTCGAAATCCACACGACGTGAAGGCGGTAAGCCATCCGGTAAAGTTTCCGGAAAGACGTCAGTAAAACGCTTCAATAAGTGAGTGATCGGAACAGGAGTCGACTCACTAACTGGCGTGACCGCACAAATTTTGACACGGTACACTTCCTTGTACACATGTTTCTTCACATTACGTTCAAAGTCAACAGCAGCAATCTCCACAGCTGCTTGACTAGCAACCGTTGATGGAGGTGCACAAGACACACTTGGAAACGAAATCTCATGCGAACGCCAATTGATATATGGCTGAAACTTGGTAAACCAAGGTTTTCCCAAGATGACATCATGAACAGATCCAAGTGACCATTCCATGACTTGAAGTCTGCGGAAACGGTAGCGACCGAATTCAATGGTCGCTTGACCTTTTTTAACAGAACGCGCTTTCGTAGAAGTTCCATCGAGCCGAGTGACTTGTGAGACACCAGACGTAGCGGTGTTAGCGACTTAATCTGGGCGAACAACATTGCACGTAGCACCACTGTCGAACATGATGACGACAGGTTTCCCATCACAAGTCCCTTGTTTACGAATGAGCTCGTTCTCACGATGCATGGACGACAAGGTGGACGTGGAAATCTCTTCCACTTCAACAACCTCAACCTCGTCATCGGAACGGGTCATAGACGCTCGTTCAGCAGCAGCAGCAGTTGTAGGAGATAAAGAATTAAAGTTCGCGGCAGATTGCTCGTGACGGTTCTTTCGAGCATACTTCTCCTTGTTCTTCAACTTGAAGCACTGCTCAATGACATGACCAGACTTCTTGCAGTAACGACATCGCTTGTTAGACGACGAAGAAGAAGCAGAACGGCGATTT